CAAAGATCTTCACTTGTTTTAAAGCACTCATTTGTAAAGCTCGAGCAACAACTTGGTGAGTTAAGTATTATTCCCATTGTGCAGATGAGTAAACTGAGGCACAGTAACACTGACTTGCCTGAAGCTGCGGGGCACATTAGTAGCAGAAGCTTAATTCCTAAGCCTCAGTTATAAGCCCCTGGCTATTAGGGTGGCACGGACATTGAAGAGCTCTTGCTGTTTGTCCTGATAACATTTGGTGAGAATCTGCAGCACATTATCATTGTCCTTTGGGGCCTGGGTTGCATAGCCCTCTCTGTTAGTCACTGACAATTATTCTTACTGATACTTGACACATCATTAGATGTCCCACTTTATTCTTCCTGTTGAAGTCTGGGAGGTGTCAACCTGACAGTCACCACTGCATTAATCATGATGACTGTGTCTGGAACAAAACCAACCAAGCAAAAATCCCCTGGATTTAATTGTAATCTCTCCGTGCACCTCCTTGTAGGCTCCTGGGCAGGTCGCTTGCCTGGTGACGAGACGCGGGCCTGTGGCTTACCCTGAAATCTCTGTGTTTTGGCATCTGTGGATTCTTGCTGTCTAAACAAAGAGGGGCTACACGGGAGAAGCTGGGTGCCAGTTCCTTGCCTTTCTCCTTATGTCCCACAATGTGCTAGGCAGGGCAGACTGCCGATGACAACTGTTTAATACTGATGTTGCTGATGGTCTCAGAGACCCCGGCTGGAAACAAAAACACCCGGCGCCCTGGACAGTGCACTGACGCCCCAACACTGTCTGCAGAAGGTCACTACGAGCGGTGCGACGTGAACACCTGACCTGATGCCTCCTCCCAGGGTTGGATCCCCTGCCAGCTGGGAACAAACAGCCAGGGCAAGAAAAATCCAGCTGTGCAAAGCAGCCTGAGACATAAAGTCCATATTGCACCAAACTCCTGGCAACTGCCCGCAACTCTGGGGCGATGGAGCGTGGGCAGCAGCACGGGAAAGGCTTCTGCTTTTTATCAGCCAAAAGGCAAGGCCAGCAAGCATACGACCACCTCTGAAAAGTCAACGGAGGCCAGTGCACCCATGGAGGCTCCAGCCTCCGTGTGTGACCTCGGCAGCCTGTCCAGCACCCACGTGAAGCACGGGCTGCATAAGTGAGTGCAAGAGATGCCACCCCAGCCTCCTCCGTCTCTTTCTGGAGGACAGATGGACGTTCTCTCTCCACCTCCCACTGCAACCGGGAGATCAAAGGAAGAGGCAACTCCTCTAGCAATTGGAGATGAATGATGCAAGGACTTGTGACCTGAATTCCTCCTCCAGTAGCTGCAGGCTCTGCTTTTACTTGGACCCCTGCATTGCCATGGAAAATTTGGGTCTCAGGCCCTTAGGGAATAGCTCCCTATTGACCAAAGCTGAATGAGAACCAAGGGAGCTGGTACCAGGAAAGACCATGCAGGCTTGTAAGGAAGCTTTCACTGCGGGGGATAAGTACCGTGAACATCCTGTCGGGATGAACTTCGCGGCTGCGCTGGGGAGCTGGGTGATCTTGGAGACCGGCGAGCCCCGCAGTGCGCATGAGTGAATTGGAGCTGAGAAGTGACATCCCACGGCCTTGCAGGCAGGGAAGTAACAGCACCCCCAGACGAGCCAGAGGCCTCAAGCAACAAAGGGCGCGTGCCATTCCTCACGCAGTCCGAGACTGGGAGATGGGTAAAGGCTACTGCCGGTGTCTGCAAATGGCCCCGTTTGTTCTCAGCGGGGGAAACAGATGCAACTATTTCCCAAAAGTTTTGGTTCCCTCAGTTGGCCTGGGTGCTGGGTCTCTCATTGCACCGGTTTGCAGATCCCACTTCCAATCCAGATTCTGTGGGCTCATGGCCCCTAGTTTGGGAACCACCATCCTAGACTGGGAGCAATTTGGGACCAGGACTATTGTCTTTTTGTGTGCATCCGTGCCATGCTCAGCCCATGAGTGTTGCTCGACTGGGGTCCCTGGGCACCACTGCCATTCAGTGATAAACAGCAGTCACTAGAAGGCCTGTTATAAAGCAGAGGCGAGGCTATGAACTTTCTCAGGCACTTGGATATCACAAAGTGTTCTCCAGCATTAGCAAGAAGGCTAGGAATAGGCCAATGATGTGGTTGACAGCAATTTGAAGTTAATTTCTACCATGATGCACTTCAACAAAAAAAGGTCATCGGGTTAAAATCCAATCTGTAAGCAAGACCTGAAATGCCTCTTTAAAATTAGCATGTCATGAACTGGTTACGGCACAGACCGCACTATTTTTTTTTCCCTTTTATAGAAGGCAATTGCTTTCCTTCGCGTATTTACAATATCATTACTAAAAATATAATGAACACGCTTTAGCGAGAGCACCCGGTCTCCATTACTGTATCTGATTTACAGCATGGCACAAAACTAAAACCTAGCTCTGAAACAGATGGGAAATGCCACAAAAGACGTGTGACCTGAGTGCAGGCCTGCTGCCAGGAAGCCCCAACTTCTAATCTTGGCTCTTAAAACTCTGCCCGTGGGCAGCTCCCGTCAACGCTTTCTTAGTCTCCTCATTTGTAAAATGTGAAAAATGTGTCTTTTTTTTTTTTTAAGCTGTTCTAAGCAGAGCAGAATACCATGTTCAAGGGAGCCGGTGCCACAGTCCACGTCCACCCGAACACTGGGAATAATCAGATAATAAACTCCTATCTCCCACCCTCCTCCGTTTGCGAAAAGCCAACTTGCACATTTTTATGAGAGAGCAACGATCCCCTGAACTCCCCTCGTGAAGCAAGCAGTGACCTCGGTGAGAAACCTTGCACGCACTAAGGTTAATAGTTATATTAACTTGCCGCAGGTCCTGTGATGTTTGACATTTGATGATTTCTTTTAAACCAAAACACTGGAAAAAACAAATGGTCGGTAGGTGTCCTGGTTCCTGAGCAGCACAGGAAAGGACTTTGACAAGAGTCAGCAGCGGACTGAAGGTTATGAGCCCATCTCTGCTTGGTCATCCTCATTCAAGCAGAAAACCAGCGGCAGCACCTGCAGTGAGTTGGTTGCCCCAATCTTTCCTCCTCCAAAAATCATAGGGAGGTTGCTCTGCATGCCACGGCTGCGATCCTAGAAGCAGGGCATAGCCTTGATGCAACTGAGCCCAACCCGCTCTGCTCTGTCCAGGACAGAGGGATCCCTTCTCAATCTTGGCTTACGCCGAGTTATGCTTTTTCCACCAGTTTAAGCAACCGAGGGGAAAAGTCACGTGGAAATGGCAAGTCACTTTCTCACATACGCCAGGGCCACAATAATTCGTGCCCTTGGTAACGCGCGGTGTGCAAGGGCGTTGCGCAAAGGGCTAGTCCAGTCTTGCCAACCTCAGGTATTCCCATGCTGCGAGTCACGCCCCAGGAAATCAGGAGATTGGCCTGTTTGTCGGCACAGGCTTCCTGTTCGTCCTTGAGTTGGTTTAATTAGGATGCACCTTCCGGTCATGTTTTCATGATTTTATCTGTGGGCTGAGGCATCTCGTACCCCATCACAGGATTCCAGGAGCTGGGGATTTACAATACCCCCCCCCCTTACCCCCATTTGTGAGACTTAAGCTGAAATGACCTGAGTTGGAGACAGTGCCAATCTCAGGACAAGGGAACGCATCTGGCCATCAGTTTTCCAGCATTTCATGCGTGCTTTGCATACCCCGATGCAACAGCGGCTCGGTGGATTAGCTGAGTGCCCCCACGCGAGCCAGGCTGTGTGCTCTGCTACAGGCTGGGTTTGTTTTTAATTGAGAAAAGCTGTTGACGAACATCCACCGAGACGCTGTCCCCTCTGCAATGCATGCCGGTTGTGTTAATAAATCGGATGCCTCCTTCTGCTTTGATGTTTCTGATTCATGGATTTGGCCAGGGCGCCACAACAGATGCTTCATCTCTGCTCCTCTGGTGAGTGGTTTAACAATTTCTCGGCAATGACACGCAGGGAAAGGTGGGACGGACAGCGCCAGGCCCAGGCACCTGTACAAACAGCAGCTTGGGATGAATCGCCGCTGGGAGTGGAGAACAAGTCGCTGTTGTGAAACAGTGCAGTCCTTTTGAGCTCAGTGATGTTCAGTGACAACAGAGCACCCAAGTGCCTTTGAAAATCTCCCCTGTGCATGACTACAGCACCCAGATCCTCACTGCTATTTAGGTTCCCAACTCTCTTTCATGTCGGTAGGAATTAGGTACCTAAATACCTTCGAAGACCTGAAATGCTGGTGTCTGTGGGCTCAGGCACAAACTGTGTCTCCTCAACAGCATCCCTTTTTTTTTTTTTTTTTTTTTTT